TTTTTAAAAGACATGTCACACGTCTCTCTAGCAATTAGTACTGTTGAAAGTTTCACTAAGGCCTCTGGCCTGTCTCTTAATCTTAATAAGTGTGAACTGTTGTCAGTGAATAATTGCACACACTCCTCTATTTGTGGCATCCCTGTCAAAGATTCTGGAACATACCTGGGTATCAGTATCACTAAGAATAGTACAAACAGAAGTATTTCTAATTTCACTCCTGTCATTGAAAAGTCAAAAAAGGTTTTTAACAGTTGGCTACAAAGGGATCTGTCCCTGAGAGGTAGAGTCCTGCTCACTAAAGCAGAAGGATTGTCCCGTCTGGCCTGTACTGCCCAGTCTCTTTATGTTGATAAATCAGTTTGTAATTCTGCCGACTGAACGCTCTCCGACGTCTTATGGAAAAACAAAACACATTATTTGCGTAAATCTGTCGTTTTAAACAATGATAAGTCTGGTGGGCTAAAATTTATTGACTTTGACTCCTTTAATAACACTTTGAAAATAAAATGGATCAAAAATTATCTTAAAAACCCAAAGTGTATCTGGAACTTCATTTCACAATATGTCTTTTCACATTTAGGCGGTTTAGAGTTTGTTCTCCTTTGTAATTACAGTATTCCGAAAATACCCACTAAGCTCTCCAACTTCCACCAACAGGTACTTTTAGCTTGGTCCCTTATCTATAAACATAATTTTTCTCCGTGTAACATTGCACTGCTCTAACTATGACCCCTGACTCTTAGTCATTTCTCAGATTCACCATGAATCGTGTTCTTCAAAGTTACATTTGACTTCAATAATGTCTGATGTTTTTCCACACATTTCCTGTCCTTGGACACAGAGTCAGCTACAGTCTGACTAATGTTTATCTTATTTCTTCCTATGTCTCTAAGAAAGAAAAACAAATCATTAATGAAGTTTGTTTTATTTTATTAACAAGTGTGAACACAAATAATTTTGATTGTTGTTTTCAATCATTATAATGAAATCATGTGAAATATTACAATGTGATGATGTTGTTGCACAGAAGATCAACATCATCAGGCCAGGACTCTGCAGTCTACACTCATCTCCAGGCCAGCGGTCACTCTTTCAGGGATGAAGATGTTCACATCCTGGACAGAGAGGAACGATGGTTTGAGAGAGGAGTAAAGGAGGCCATCTTTGTGAAAAGAAATCGTCCATCATTAAACAGGGGTGGAGGCCTCCGGGTTCAACTGTCCCCCTCTTACAATGCTGTGATTGCTAGTATCACTCAGCCCTCTGTGAACAGTAAACAGCCATCAGTGTGCTAATGATCCATTGTTAGGCTGATGGTCCTTCTTGAGCATGTGATCAGCTGGTTTTGGTTGTCAGCAGCAAAACTGGTTGATCCACTCTGAGAAGGTGCTATTTAAGAGACTGAGCTGAATACAGCACCTCAGACTGAGGAAGTCTCTCGGATGAGAGACGAAACGTTTCTACATTTTTTGTTGATTTGCTTTGTTTTGTTTTGTTTTGTTTTTTTGAATGTCCAGAGGACCAGATTTAACTTTTTTAGATCTGAGTTAATAACAAATCTGTGGAGCAGCGCCTGCTTTGAAAGCAGAGTTCAGCAGGTGGTGGCACAGCTGAGGGAGAATGAAGACAACACATCAAGCGTAGATGAGATGCTCACAGTTTTCCTTTTCTCTGGGAACTATTTAGGCCGTGGGTTCTTCACTCGGTTGTTGACCTTTTGTCACCGTCATCCTGACTGAGACGCTTCAGAAGAGGTAGATCATCTCTCACTGGGAATTTGTTGTTTTAATAAAGGATAAATAAATAAAATGATAAATGACAGACTTTGTGTAAATTAGAGATCCTCATTTAGGTGCACTTTATTCATTGTAGAGGGATTTATTTTGGTGCCCTATTCATATGAAACTTAAAACTGTTAATAATGTTAAATTAAAACTGAGCACCAAACATAGTCTTACGTAAATATATATATATATATATATATATATATAGATGATTAAATGTGTTATTTTGTAAAAGCTGACTTGACCAGCATTGCTCTCAAGTGGTTGGAAACAGAAAGTGCAGCTTCAACACCACAGATAGTTTTATAAACCAGACCTTTAGTTCTCATACAGAACATTTATAAGTTCAACAAAATAATAAAGTTTAACACAATAAAACACGGACATACAGATTGGGTGCTCATGTGTGAGAATATGATACGCAACTTTGTCAATGGTATTTTGTCACTGAGCAAAATAAACTGTCCAAGTGACCTGATTTATAATAATGAAAAACTATCTGTCTATTTTAACATCTAATGTTTTAGCAAATTTATCTTTTAAACTTTTGATTTTAGCAGCTCGACCAGGAGAAATATGCACAAGAATTCCAACATGCCTGTTTTTATCTAGTACAAATGGTAATAAAATAATATTATAGTCTAAATTTTACTTAATTAAACATCAGATTTAAAGCCTTTCACTCCTTGAAAGAAGGCATGTCGCATGCCTTTCCATTTTTAAGAAGATTGTAATAAGAGGCAAAGTTATAGCAGTTTTAATGGCTACAACTGGTATGTTAATGGTATGTTATATAATGGTTATATCTTGGTATGATCCCAAGATACTATGAGAGCTCACAAGAGTAGCACTCAGAGCAGATGTTACCATACCATACCATACCAATTTATTTATATAGCACTTAAAACAGCAACAAGGCCAACCAAAGTGCTGTACAAAAGAACACAAACATGCACAGCGAACAGGAAAACATAAAATAGAAATACAGATACAAATAGCAGCAGAAGCTAACTAAAATGGCCAACAGAGTAGAGAACAGACCGGACCAAAACAAATCACACCGTGTTAAAGGCAAGCGAATAGAAGTGGGTCTTCAAGCGAGACTTAAAGACAGAGAGTGTGGGAGCCTGCCGGACACTCAGTGGCAACTCATTCCACAGTCGTGGACCTGCAACAGAGAAAGCCCTGTCACCCCTGAGCTTACGACGGGTTTCTGGGACTGAGAGAAGCATCTGGTCTGCTGACCTCAGAGAGCGCGGTGGGACATATGGCTGCAGAAGATCAGTGAGATAGGATGGGGCGGAACTGTTCAGTGATTTAAAAACGTACATGAGAATTTTGAAATGGATCCGAAGGTGAATGGGTAGCCAGTGCAGGGAGGCCAAAACTGGCGTGATGTGCTCTCTATAGCCTGTACCAGTTAAAAATCGGGCTGCAGCATTTTGGACCAGTTGTAGACGAGCAATGGAGGACTGACTGATTCCAAACAGAAGTGAATTGCAGTAATCAAGCCTAGATGTTATGAAGGCGTGGATCACTGTCTCAAGGTTCTTTTTGGAGAGTATAGGCTTCAGATTAGACAGCCGTCTCAGCTGAAAAAAACAGGATTTGACCATCATGTTTACGTGACTGTTGAGTTTTAAGGACGGGTCCATTATCACCCCCAGATTAGTCACCTTTTGTTTCTCTAGCGGGGCTAGAGAGAAAAGGTCAATGTCATGGTTCATGAGTGAGCCACTGGGATGGAACAGCATGACTTCAGACTTCTTCTCATTGAAGCTTAAGAAGTTTAAAGCCATCCAGTCCCGGATGTCAGCCAGGCAGTCAAGAAGAGGCTGAATAGAGCGTGTGCCTCTGTGCCTCAGGGGGAAGTAAATTTGGCAATCATCGGCATAGAAATGAAAGGGTATGTCGTGTTTGCGGAAGATAGCACCTAGTGGCAGCAGGTATAAAGAAAAGAGAAGGGGACCGAGGATGGACCCCTGCGGTACCCCCCACTGAAGTGCGGTCGATGCCGAACTAAAATCTTTGATATTGACACAGAAGGTTCTGTCAGAGAGGTAGGACCCAAACCATTTAAGGGCTGACCCTGTGATGCCCACCCACTGCTCCAGTCTAGAAATGAGGATATTGTGGTCGATGGTGTCAAAAGCAGATGTAAGGTCCAATAGGACAAGCAGCACAGAATCACCTGCGTCTGTGGATATGAAAATGTCATTAAAAACCTTCAGTAGAGCAGTTTCAGTGCTATGGAGAGATTTGAAGCCAGATTGGAATAACTCTAGGATAGCGTGATCCCCCAAAAACTGTTTCAACTGAGACTCCACAATTTTTTCCAGTAGTTTAGAGGTGAATGGGTGTCTGGAGACAGGCCGGAAGTTGGACATGACTGAGGGGTCAAGGTTAAGTTTTTTCAGGAGGGGCTGGACAGCAGCATGTTTAAAAGTCTTTGGCACCACACCTGAGGATAAACTGCTATTCAGAATAGTGAGGATAAAAGGACCCAGGGTAGGAAAAACTTCCTTTAGTAGTCGAGGGGGGACCACATCAAAGGGGGAACCAGATGGTTTCATGCTGCACATTACCTGCTCCAGAGAGGACAGAGAGATGGGCTCAAAGTGGTCAAACACAGCCACACACTGAGAAGGGATGGACAGATCATGAGCTGGTGGAGAAATGAGTGCCCGGGTGTTTGCCACTTTTTCTAAAAAGAAATGGAGGAAGTTCTCACACAGCTCAGTTGAGGCTTCCAGAGGTGAAGGCTCACTGATGAAGATTCATGTTGAAGATGACTATCAGCTACTATACATTAAAATTTAACTTAATAATGGTGAACTTGAAAGAGTTACAGACACTTAAAAAAAATGTTAAGGTCAGTTGGCTATAACCTTAATCAGCCTTTGATGTACATCCATTTATTACTTTGTGAGAGTTTCATTAATATCTGTTGAGTGGTTTATATATATTTTGCTAATGCTCCAAATAAATAAAAAACAAAACAGTTTTCCTTCATCTGCAGGCAAAACCAAATAAATAAATAAAACAAACGAGAGGAAACGTTCACTTTTGTTTATGCTTGTCAATGATTATTCATGCTGAACTGTGGAAAACTCGTTTAAACAAATAAACTACATTACCCATAAAGCTAACGGTGAGAATTCTTTTGTTGTTCATTGGCTGAAAATCACGATGACGTATGACGGTGGCGATAGTTACCCGGATAAAGGTTGGATGGAGGAGTGTCGAAAAGCGGGCTTAGTGGCTCTGATAGCAGCTAAACACGGTAGCGAGGAAGACAATTTTTGTACTGCGGCTTAAGAAATTACTTGTGAAGAAATTAAAATGGTAAGTTTGATTGTATTATTTGAACCGCATGGCAGTGCCGTCCACGGTTAAAACGTTCAATAAACCCCACGGTGCGTGTTTTTAATCGCGTGGTAGCCGTTAGTATTAGCGGTCGAGTTAGCTTAGCATGCTAGCTGACTTGGTCGCGTCGAGAAAGCGGTAACGTCGCAATTAAGACGGAGTGTGAGCTGAAATGTGTTCATGTTGCGGTGGCTGAAGCTCGACTGGGCTGCTGTAAACCGTGGACGGTGGCTTTTGTTTTCCAGGCTGGCGGTAAGGCTGGGAAAGACTCCGGAAAGACCAAGACAAAGGCTATTTCGCGCTCTCAGAGAGCAGGACTTCAGGTCTGTCCAGTTCTCATTCATCGCTTCTCGCTGCCAGATGTCTCAAAGGTCACTTTAACCGCTCTTCATGCGCGGAACTCGGGTCCTGTTTGTTTTGTTTTTTTGTCCGCAGTTCCCCGTGGGTCGAATCCACAGACACCTGAAGTCCAGAACCACCAGCCACGGCAGAGTGGGAGCCACAGCGGCGGTGTACAGCGCCGCCATCCTCGAGTACCTCACCGCCGAGGTAAGCGTCCACCTCTGCCGGGCTCCTCGCTTCGTGCTCTAGTCTCAATCCAGGCTCTCTCTTAGGTTCTGGAGTTGGCAGGAAATGCGTCGAAAGACCTGAAGGTGAAGAGAATCACTCCACGCCACTTGCAGCTCGCCATCAGGGGAGACGAGGAGCTGGATTCTCTGATTAAAGCCACCATCGCTGGTGGAGGTAAGAATCTGCTCTGAACTCTGAGATGAGTTTACAGACCATGTTGAAGCATCATCACAGCTGGACTTTTATTTATTTAGTAATTGAAGAGGTTTCCCCCAATCTTTAAACTGCACCAGATGCTGTTTAAGCAGCCAAACTCACTGCACATCCAGCTCACTCCCCTCCCTGTAGAGGGTCAACAGTCTTGGTCTGCCTGGCTCGTGTGCACGGAGGTGTGAACATGACTGGGTGTAACTTGTTCTGACTAATGCGCTTCTGTTCCAGGTGTTATTCCTCACATCCACAAGTCTCTGATTGGAAAGAAGGGCCAGCAGAAGACCGTATAACCTGAGGAGCTCCGTCGTGCCGTCTCAGGATTACAGTCCGCATTCAGTGGTTAAATGTCTTAGATTCAAACACATTTAGGATTTTTATGGTTGAGCTTGCATTTACTCATGACTTTTGTTTTTCTTCCCCCAAGTGGCTTCAGAGAAGCTTTATTTTTTCCTTCTTCTGGTGCTGCAGTTTGTTTTTGTTTAAATCCAGCTTTTGTGGCATTCCCATGTTTAAGTGGTGTTTTAATAAAGCCCTCCTGGGCATCGTTTCAGCTTCTCTTGTTCTTGGCTAAGCTGCAGTCTCAGACTGTTAACATGCATTCATTTACTGTGTAAAGTGCTGTTCTCACAACTTGACACAAAAGACAAATTATAGTTTATAGTGTGAATGATTTTATGAGAAGTCCCAAGATTCTGACACGTTCGTGTCATTTCCTGTGCAGTGTGACTGCTCCACCTGGATGTATCTCAGGTGTGATGGGGTAAATGCAGACAACTCATTTCATCATTGTATAAAAACAATGACAACTCTCCAACATCCCTACAAATCCTAAATACATGAACTCTTGCTCTGTTGCTTTTCTTAGCTGAACTGACTTCATTCTGCCACAAGATGGCAAAACTACACCAGGACACTGACTGACTGTCCAGTACTCGTTTCATATAAATAACTTCTATTAGTCTGGGGTTGAATGATGTATTGAAACAGATAAAGTGTGTACTCTTTGTTAAAAACAACTCCACAAAGGTAATTTAAATTTTGAAACTGCCAAAGCAAGTTAAAAAACATGAAAACCATTTGCGTTTAAATTTTATTCCAACAGATTATAAAGTTTAATTAAACAGGCATTGATGAATAAAATAGTGCAGAAAGAGTTGAATAATTTAACCACTACACTAAAGAGTGCCAGGTAGTCACAGGGCTGAACCACAGGAAGCTGAGGACGATTCAAGGTGCAGCCAAACGATGACACCAACTTCTATAGTAGGACACAAGTTTGCCATGATGCTTGTTGAGAAGCCACACGGCTTGTAGGAAAATATTTTGGACAAATGCAAAATTGCTTCCACACTGGTGAAATTTAAATGTCACAGCAGCAACATGAGTGCAGATGCACTGAAAACACTTAAACTTTCTATAGACTCATCCATGAAGAGAGCAGTTGTCAGAGACGGTACAGTTGTACAGTCTGGTGGTTGTGGACAGGAGTAACCTGTGGTGCTGCTTTGTGCACTGGGTGTGTAAAGTCCTGACGGAGCTGCAGGGGGTGGGAGGACGTCATGATGGACAGAAGCTTTGCCAGCATCCTGTCTGCTGCCTCCACCTCAGCACATGATGGTGTAGGACACTGCAGACACCACCAGGGTCATAAAGACTGGAGCTTTCTGGTAACGGCTCCCATTAACTCCGGCTTCTTCTTAGTGTCAGAGAGATTGGTCTCACTCACAGGTAATGGGTCAAAACGCCTGAGAATGGATCAGAATCAAACGGGCTATTTTGAAGTGTCCCGAGCTCTGATCTGATACCTGCTGAACATCTGGAGGAGGAACCATTGGCAGCTGGAGCAGTTTGATCATGACGAGTGGACCAGAACACGTGTGGACAAGTTCAGAAGACTGAGTGACAGAAATCACATCTAAAGGTTGAACATCTGAAGTGAGAGGCACCATCCTTTGACCACATCAGTTTCATTATGTGTTGAACCTGAATTACACAACAATGACTGAACATTGTTTTACATAAAAACAGAATACTGTAGAAGTAACTCATTAATTTAGAATCAACTTCTCTATATAGAAAATAAAACTGGGCCAAAGATCAAGAGCTCTTACAATGAAAACTGTAAATTATGAAAAACACGATCAATCTACAGGTCCTCATAAAATGAGCATATTGTGATAAAGGTCATTATTTTCCATAATGTAATGATAAAAATGAAACTTTCATATATTTCAGCTTCATTGCACATCAACTGAAATATTTCAGGTCTTTAATTGTTTTAATACTGATGATTATGGCATACAGCTCATGAAAACCCAAAATGCCTGTCCCAAAAAATTAGCATATTTCATCCCACCAATGAAAGACAAGTGTTTTTAATACAAAAAACGCCAACCTTCAAATAATCATGTTCAGTTATGCACTCAATACTTGGTCAGGAATCCTTTTGCATGAATGACTGCTTCAATGCGTCGTGGCATGGAGGCAATCAGCCTGTGGCACTGCTGAGGTGTTATGGAGGCCCAGGATGCTTCGATAGCGGCCTTAAGCTCATCCAGAGTGTTGGGTCTTGCGTCTCTCAACTTTCTCTTCACAATCTCCCACAGGTTCTCTATGGGGTTCAGGTCAGGAGAGTTGGCAGGCCAATTGAGCACAGTAATACCATGGTCAGTAAACCATTTACCAGTGGTTTTGGCACTGCAGGTGCCAGGTCGTGCTGAAAAATGAAATCTTCATCTCCATAAAGCTTTTCAGCAGATGGAAGCATGAAGTGCTCCAAAATCTCCTGATAGCTAGCTGCATTGACCCTGCCCTTGATAAAACACAGTGGACCAACACCAGCAGCTGACATGACACCCCAGTGACTGTGGAAACTTGACACTGGACCTCAAGCAATGTGAATTCTGTGTCTCCTCTCTTCCTCCAGACTCTGGGACCTTGATTTCCAAAGGAAATGCAAAATTTACTGTAATCAGAGAACATAACTTTGGACCACTCAGCAGCAGTCCCAGGTGAGATGCTTCTGACTCAGTCTCTTGTTCAAGAGTGTCTTGACCTGGGGAATGCGGCACCTGTAGTCCATTTCCTGCACACGCCTGTGCACGGTGGCTCTGGATGTTTCTACTCCAGACTCAGTCCACTGCTTCCGCAGGTCCCCCAAGGTCTGGAATCGGCCCTTCTCCACAATCCTCCTCAGGGTCCGGTCACCTCTTCTCATTGTGCAGCGTTTTCTGCCACACTTTTCCCTTCCCACAGACTTCCCACTGAGGTGCCTTGATACAGCACTCTGGGAACAGCCTATTCGTTCAGCAATTTCTTTCTGTGTCTTACCCTCTTGCTTGAGGGTGTCAATGATGGCCTTCTGGATTTGGGCTCCAAATCCCAATTGCCCAAAAATGCATCCCCTGCTAACTTTGACAAATAAAGAGTTAAAAATGAAATAACCTGTTGTACATTATTACATACAGGGGCTGGTCATAAAATTAGAATATCATGAAAAAGTTTATTTATTTCAGTAATTCCATTCAAAAAGTGAATCTTGTATATTATATTAATTCACTACACAGACTGATATATTTCAAATGTTTATTTCTTTTAATGTTGATGATTAGAACTGACAACTAATGAAAACCACAAATTCTGTATCTCAGAAAATTAGAATATCACTCAAGACCAATTTTAAGAAGTATTTTTAGAAATGTTGGTCAACTGAAAAGTATGAACATGAAAAGTATGAGCATGAAAAGTATGAGCATGTACAGCATCAGTACTTAGTTGTTGCTCCTTTTGCCTGGATTAGTGCATCAATGCATCGTGGCATGGAGTGGATCAGTCTGTGGAACTGCTCAGGTGTTCTGAGTCCAGTGTCCTTCAGCTCTTCTGATCAGAGCAACCTGGGCTCTCATAACACCTGAGCACTAGTTTTAAGTACATTGTTTTTTATTTATTTAAAAAAATAATAATTTTAATTGTTTTTTTACAGTTCATCTTAACTTTTCATTTAACCAACTATTAAAAACCCATCTAGGGACGGGTGTTGTGAATTAGCTTTGGTTATATACACAGTGATGCAGGCATTGGATTGTTTTGATCTATGTTTCTTGTATCTGTCAAATAAACAATAAATAAATAAAAATAAATTACAAAAGTGAACTATTTATCAAAATACTTTGATTGCCTAAATACTGCATAATTAAAACCTAAATAAACTCTCGTGTCCAAAGAGAGTCAGGTTTAGATCAACTTTTATCAACTGCTAAATGTTTAAAGATAATCTGGTTCAGGTCATTTTGAGCAACTGAATTGTAATAAACTATCATCGAAAGTTATTATTTAGCAATGAATTTCTTAAACTTTCTCCAAATTCTTAATGTTAGTCATTCGGTTTTGTCTTAATTTTATTTTTTTAGTCCCCTTTTAATAACCAAACAGCTTTGGTGATTGTGTGATAAACAGAAGTGTGCTGTAAGGCCAGGACTGTCACCTATGAGTCACAGACAGCAGCACTCTGCTGAAATACTCTCACTGCTCCACTAGGTGGTAAGAAGTCCACACTGATAACAGGATCATATAAAACTAAAAAAACACCCATCTCCATATCAGCAATTTTGATAAAGATAGATGGAGTGTCTCCACTTACTACCATTGCTCCAAATTCAAGCCCAGTGTCAGAGTTTCTGGGAGCTGACGTATTTTTGGAGCCAGAGTCTGTGTACCATCCACACGAACGTCCCGCCCACTCACTGACAGGCTGTCAATCATAGCACTTACATTTAAGCCTCAAGAAAACTAATTAAAACTGAATGAATGGAGAGGTAAAAGCTGTGTGAATAAAATAAAATAAACACCTAATAATTTTATCTGATGTGATTTTATTTTTGTCCCCGTTGTGGAGCAAAGTGGGAGAACTGGAAATGACATCTGTCCGTCCATCTGTGCAAGTTGTGAACATGATAACTTGAAAAATAAGCGAGGTTCCAACTTTCATGTTGGTGTATGGCTGCTCTAGGTGTCAGAAAGGTTACGATTCAAGGTCAAGATTCTTTATTGTCATTCGCATCATATGTGGTACATGTGGTGGAGCAAAATTGTGTACACAGAGTCCCAGTTACATCCAACAAAAGTATAAATTGTAAAGAAAAACAGTAATAACATCTAAGACATGAACTAAGAAATATGTTAAAACTAAGAATACACTAAGCACAAATAGTACAGAAACAATATGTCAAACAACAGCAGCACGAACATGAGTCTGTGTGAGCAGATGAGCATGCATGAACACAGCATCATGAAATAATCAGCAGCATGAGATCAGCATCATGGATAATCAGCAGCACATATCAACAACCAAGTGGCATTACAATGATTATTCTGGTTAGAGATTCATAAGTCTAACAGCCTCAGGGTAGAAGCTGTTCCTCAGTCTAGTGGTTCTACACTTAATGCTCCTTAACCTCCTTCCTGAGGGGAACGGGGCAAAAAGTGTGTGTGCTGGGTGAGTGGTGTCCTTCTTGATGCAGGTGGCCCTCTTCCAAGGAG